TTAACTTGGTGATTCGGTTTCATGCCGATGAACTTCGGTTTCATGCCGATATCCCATCGATTACGGCTGACCGGCTCACCAAGTTAAACGTGTGAGTGCTGATAGGCTACGGCATAAAAGCCGTTAAGCTGAGAGGGTAAAAGGCCTGGTGGCGTAACGGATAGCGCACTCGCCCGGAAAGCGTGAGGTGCGGGTTCGACTCCCGCCTGGGGCACGACTTTTGCCCACAACTCAGCATTCTTGTGATAACGCGTAATGTTTTGGTTTAAGCGAGCGCGATGCGAGCCGAGGGACGACGAGGCAGAGGAAATGGAGGAGCGACTGGCGGACGGCAGGACACCCAGCGGCAGCAACAGCACCACGACCGACTCACCGGAGGACTTCCACCAGAACACAGTATTCAGTCGGCTGTCAATAAAGCTGCTCGCTATACAGTGTATTCGATCCACACTCACACACTTACAGAGTTCACCTTTCTTTGCGTCAAACCAAGCTTCAGTATCTAAGAAAAATGCAGTTAAAGGGAAAAAAGCATGAAATTGAGTTCTTGAAATTGAGCACGAAATGGGCAAAAGGCACCGGCTAGAGCGGTGCACTTACAATTAGGGAACCCAGGCGTGTGAGTTGAAGGTTCCATGGTCTAATATTAGGTTGGAGAGGTGTTGAATGAGAGCCGACTCAAGAATAATAATGGACGAATGACTCGCCCAAACTTCTGCAGTTCATTGAGCATACGAACTTTCACAAGTCCGTCCAGAGAGAAGCACTGAAGGTTTTGAGAGCTGATCTGAGCTAGAAAACGCACCTGGTTGATAAGTACCCATCACAAAAGAACACTTCAACCTTATAGTATTGGTGAATTCTTTCTTATGCCGAAAAGGTTTATGGTGGAATATTTTATTACGCCTGACGTTTCGACAATCTCGTCGTTTTCAAAGGCCTGAAAGCATACCGAAACTTGCAAAGTGTCGCAGGACTTCCTTCCCACCTAATAGTGTCGTCGATGATGTTGGCGCTTGGCCCGAGATTGCAGGTTGTCAAACATCTGTAAATTCATAAACGTATGAAGGAGTGCTGAGTTATGGGTAAAAGTGTTGTTCAAGGCACATCCTCCAAATACGCCGCCCCCTTACTCATCGGGGTAGGGACTTGCCTTGATTTCTCGACAAATAAAGGAAAAAAGTGCATGCTTGCTCTTTTGATTTTTTCCTATTGCGCGATTGCTATTTACTTTTCCATAAGACCTTGCATTGCAATGCATTATGAGAACAGTTCACTGGTTTATTTCGTCTGCGTTCAGCAGTGCTTCAGAATTTGACAACATTCTTCTTTAAGTGTTTTTCGGGAGGTGCTCCATCAGGAACTGAGGCCCTGCCAAGAGACCGAACCATGTTTTACGAAATCGGAAATACTCTGAATCCAGAGGTTTCACTGCATGCAAAGCGAGCTGTGCGAACGGCATAAGGACTTCTGTTGGAAAATGAATAGATATCCCTCTGTGGAGAAAAAAACGAGAAGGTGGAAAGCCTGATTTCCTGAAGAGAAAACTGTATTACACCATCCGCCTTTTGACCCGACCATTGCATTCCTACAAGCAGTCTTTTTTATCCGAACCTCGTCTTGATGATTTGCTCGTGGAGGGGAGAAGTAGTGGGATATCCATGTTGAACTACAAGTTGAATCTTAAAGTCTATGTTGGCATGAAGCACTATGGCAGCGTTCATACTTCGCGACAGCAGCGGCGATCGCCGCGATCGTCGGTACGTGGCAGAGCGCGCCCCAACGCTATTATGGACTGCTCGCTTGATAAATAAGGAAATCCAACTTGTGAGACCTTTTCTCTTAATAATGGCTACTAACTGATAACTTACGACTTTCTATACATAAGCGGATCTGGAATATGAGGTAAGGAGGTTTCACTTCTTTTTAGGTCGGGATGAGGCCAACTCCATTTCCTGGGTGAGCTTCTTTTTGTTTCTTTTGTTTTTATTGTTTCAATTTATGCAAGCGCCTTAAAATTTCGCTCGTTCCAACTTCCAAAACATTTATAGTTCACAAGTCGAGTTCAAACAACGAAGAAAAAAAGAAACAGAAGAAACTCACCTAGGAACCAAAACACTAATCATTTTACGCAACATCAACAGGTGAAAACTTTATAACCTCATGTATAAGCTCGACGAATGAAAAAAGAAACAATAAAAACCTACCCTAAATGAAGCTCTCACGCTTTTTGCTCATTTCTATCCTGAATCAAGAAAGAAAATAGAAAATAAAAGCCATTGCTGGGTTGTAAGTCCAGGGGACTTGAGCTGACAGAGAGATACTGCAACTTGATCGTTCGATGACCGCGCATAATGTTATGATAACTGCTGTTTAACGCCGCAGTACGCGTTGTTTAGTTTGATACGACCCACGCCAACCACAACATCTCAACTCGAAAAACATGAAGCTGCGAAAGAAATGACAAACCAGATATGAGCGGTTTACCTTTGAAGACGACACTTTGACTGAATTTTTAAACCAAACTTCCCTTCACCTAAAAGTAATTAAAAATTAATGACCAGGACTAGTGCTTACCTTTTGTACGCTTCTTATTTCAGAACCACCCCAATAAACAATGAAACTTTATTTCATGCATGTCCTGCTCTGGCTAAGCAATCTACTTTCCTTCTGGAAGATTGGCGAGAATGGTCCATAGTTAAGGCAAAAGAATTCTAACACTCCGTCACCGACCACAAGATCTCACAAATTTTCTTGCGTTGTGTAGAAAAACCGAGACTGCGGAGAAGCATGGCAGTTGTCAGTTAGGTGGAGCCTAGAGAGGTTGCCAACTTACTGGTGGTTACGTTCGGCTGCGCCTCAAGAAGCTTGAGTAAAGGGCCGTCATTCTGTGCTGGTGCTGTACCCTGGAATTAATGTTGAGACAGCTCATTAATTCCGAGGTACAGCCGGATGGCGGTTCAACGCTACTCTTTGTCATGTCGACGCTATTCTTCATCAGACGACATATTGTTGATTCCCTCGACACGCAAAAATGCCCAAACAGGAATCATTAATGTGGATCGCGTCGATAACATATTTTGACCTCGCCAATTTAGACTCTGAAAGCGCCACAAAGCACGAAAACAGTCCTTCAACACTAAATAAAAGATGAAAACATTCAAATTCTTTGGTTTTCTCAGGAACAAATTCGCAACCAGAAGGGACAAGTCATGGATATTGAAACCATGCAGGGCTCGAAATTCGTGGGGTTCTTTTTCGTTTTGTTTTTTGTGGGGGTCCGGATTTGGAAGGAGCTATAAACTGAGGAACAACTGAGCTCCCGGCCTTCCGCAATGCACTAAATGGTTAGAGACTTCGCGGGAGGACATGGACGTTGACTTGCAACGTAGGCTACTGTGAGTATTGCAGCTATAGAAAGTGCCATCAAGAAACAGCATGGAAATGCGTGGCGTATCCCAGAAAAGAATCTATCAGCACCGAAACTTGTCGTACATTTTGCGAAAAAGTATCAGAAGAAATGCGGAGAACTGTGCGCTGTGTGAGGAAAAAGTCTGGTAAGACATTACAGAATTATTTTAGAAAATTTTCAGAAGCAAATGGCGCTTGTAAGCCCCTGAAATGAGTAGTTTTAGCGGCTGATTCTAGTGAAAATGAATCGTTAGCCTACAGCTCGTAGTGATGGACCTGCCAAGTAAATGCAGCAGTTACATTATGAACTGCAGTAAGTTTGAAGAAAAATAGTGTCGCAGAAATGATAATATCTGAGGTAATGATTATCAGAGAGGTCTCCAAAAAACACTAAAAGCAAACAATTTAAATAGCAGAGCCAAGCATTGGCAATGATTACCGCCATTCCACTGCGAGCGTAAGCAATCAATCGATTGTAGCTACACTGTACCTTATCATGACGTGATGGCAGTGATGGTCAGACCAAGGGGTACATACAGTCTTTTCAATTTTGCTGAAAAAATTCGCTAGATCGACGTTCTATAAATCATGATTTGTAGTAACATGTGTGGTTTACTCGTTTGTATTTTCATGTTTTTTTCGCTAACGTTTCGTTTTCACTTGTAGTTTCTTGACATGCTGAACCGAAGTATACTCGAATCCCTGAGATCGGGTAGGCGTGGCCAATGTTTCAACTTAACCTGAAGGTGTCTATGCTTCTGGTGAGATATTTTCATCTTGACACAATTGTTGTCGTGTCTCTGTCCAACACAGAACAAGATGACAGTTGTCCCAGACTGGAATATTCCACGAGTAACCAGTTCCGTGCCATGTTCAAATGCCACGCCTACTCTGGCTCAGGGATAAGGAGTGTACCATTTTATTTGTTGATTTTTTTTCATCATGCACGCACGGGTGCGCTATAATACGAGCGAAAGTAGATGTTACGAAACATACTGTGTCGAGATTTTCGCGTACTCATTATGAAGAACTTCTACTTGCTGTTCAGCTGAAAACAGATAAGATATGAATTTTTTTTCTCTTGCGTAACTCACTATAAGAATTCAGCATTACCATGGTATTCTGCAGACATTTCGAAATATGTCAAATACGTCATTCAGGGCACTTCCAGGTACCTGGAAGGGACTTTCGCTGAATACGACCACTTCCCAGTTTCCTCGTCCGGTAGACCGCTTTCAACAGCCGAACTTGCCCTTGCCAAACTTCAGCAAAACTATGTCGAGGAGGCAGACACCTTGGGGAAATTCATCCCAAATTCTCTATTACCCATGCAATGGGGAAATCACCAGCCGCAAGGAATTGACAAGGCTAAATAACACTCCCTCCTCTCCACCGACCGAATATGGCTCTGCATTGGGGATTGCCAATGTACGACATACCTTGATGCCGCTGTAACGCGTATCAAACAAGACTGTCCTGCAGAGATGGAGACCTGTCGGTGACCATTCGCACTCCTGTTTACCTGTTCTTTACTCAGGCGGCTATATGAAGGAACAGACGTTGTTTAAAGCCCAGCTCGGCGTGAACGTTCACCCACCCTTGTTATCACAAGTCCTTCCCTCTCCAGAAGTCCCTTCCTTTACATAAATGGGCGTGCACTGTCGATCAGAGGCGCAATTTTCCATCGTCTAAAAAATTAAAAATCTGAGAGGGAAGTAGGCAATGTGAACCGCAATGAATATCGATGTTCGCTGCAAATCCCCTCAAATGTGGGTGGAGTTGTGTATCCCGGGTGTATGAACCTCTCGGTAATATGCATCTGCCAAATATGAAATACGCGGAAACGGTCACAGAAGCCCAAACTTATCCAGTAACTTTTGGAAACTTATTATCGTGTGCAAGAATAAGCGCGACTGGAGGCAGCTACTGCGGTGCAATCCTCATTTTCTTTGAGACGGAGTAGGCGAGGTATTTGAAAATGGCATAGAATGGGTTACTTGTGGCATATTTTGGTTTGAGATATTGTCATTTTGTTCAGTGTCGGATAAACACATGAACAAAATTGCGCGAAAATGAAAATATATTACAAGAGCCGATTCGTTT